TTTTAAGGGGGGGGGGGGGGCATAACGGCGGCCCCCCAACCCGGGCGGCTTTTCGGGCTGCCCCCTAGGACGGTTTGGTTCAACAGAACCTAAGGAGCCCGCCCTGCCCCCGCTGTGGGTCCCCGGGAACCCAACCCATTACGCCTTTTTCCAAAGTTCCTGATACTCCCATGCGCAGCTGCCCACACAGGAGGTCGGTTGCCATACAGACATTAGGGACCCGGCAGCCCCCGCAGTGAGGTCGGTTCGCCCGCACCGGCTGCCTTAAGGACAGCCGGGCGCGCTCGCCTCCCCCTAATACTTTCGGGCACCGCTGCTCGAGAGACCGGTACTATAAGGGATCCGGTACGCTCCCCTGCTGTAGACACCTTTGGGTGCCACTTCCTCTCTGAATCGAGAAGGAGGAGCGTCCTCCGGCCCCTAATACTCATGGGCGCAGCAACCCACCCATAAGGGCCTTTTAGTCGCATTTTACGACACGCAGGCCATATGTTGGGGGTATTCTTAACGTCCGCCACCTATGCGGACATCTAATCTACCACCTTGGCAACTGCTATTACCACCTTCAACTGATACTAACAAGTACTTGTAAGTGTTTTTAATTATCCCCATATGCGCGGGCGCGCAACCGAAGTACTAATTATAATTTTCTTATAATATTATTTTGTATCACAAATTAAACTATTTATGCTTCGAATATTCCATATAATAAAAGAGAAGTCAGAAATATATGCATAAAATATTTATATAAAATATGTTTGTCTAGGTGTTGATATTACAAAACATTATTATGTGCGCAACTAAGTTCTCGCTGTTTTTTTTTATGAAAATGCAACTTTATTGTGAAAAAATGGTTACAAATGAATCATTCAAAGTATTGCCCATCGCTAGCTACAACTTTTTCCCATCTTTCTGGCAGAGCTCGAATACCGTTACGGTAAAAGCGTTCGTCTTGTGAGGCTATCCACCAATCAAGCCATTTTTTTATGTCTTCATATGAGCGGAACTGCTGATCAGCCAGACTATGTGCCATCGAACGGAACAAGTAATAATCGGACGGCGCAATATCTGGGGAATATAGCGGGTGGGGTAGGACTTCCCATTTGAGCGTTTCCAAGTAGGTTTTAACGGGTTTGGCAACATGAGACCGAGCGTTGTCATGCAGTAGAATCACTTTTTCGTGCCTCTGCTCGTATTGTGGCTGTTTTTCGCGCAGTGCTCGGCTCAATTGCATCAATTGAATTCGATACCGTTCCCCAGTGATGGTTTCGTTCGGTTTCAACAGCTCATAATAAATAACACCGACCTGGTCCCATCAAATACACAGCATAACCTTCGCAGCGTGAATATTCGGCCGAGCCGACGACGTAGAAGCATGACCGGGTAGTCCCCATGACTTTCTTTTCTTTGGGTTGCTGTAATGAATCCATTTTTCATCACCCGTCACGATGCGATGAAGAAAATCCTTCCTTTTTTGCCGCTGGAGCAGTTGTTCACAGGCGAAAACATTAAAATGCGAATTGCAAAAAAAATATTATTTGATTCATATTTATACAGCAAAAATGTTCAAAATATATCATTGGGATATTCTAAAGATATCGCAACATCTTTAGGATATCCCTATGAAGTATTTCACAAATTTCTGCCGTGGGTATTTTTTGATGCTTTTTAAATCAATTAAAGGAAAGGGATTAAATTTCTCATTTTTCATTTTTTTAGATCACGTTTTCTAGAAGTTATGAGCAAATGAAAGAACGTTGAGTAAAATTTACCTATGTTCACGATTTATGTAACTTCTTTATGCTTAAAGTAGCTTATGCTAGGATTAAGATTCTCTTAAGCTTATCTTGAGATACTTCATAACTAATAAAACGACCTATATATAGTATTTGAAAATAAATATAATACATCATAGTTAAGTAATCTTTTACTTTTCAAGTAGCATATCTCAATATTCACATAGCAAGAATGTCCCAAATACATCATAGGGATATCATGAAGATATCACATATCCCAAATATATCTTTAGGATGTCCCTATGATATATTTTGGACACCTCTGCTGTGTGGGTAGCAAGTTAACCGATATTTTAATTTTAAATTATGCAATTTGATGCTAAATCATACAGAGAAATTTTCTTTTTTAAATAATATTTTTAAATATTAAACTTTTTTTTATCTCAGCAGCATGTTTGTAAAAATATTATTTTATTATTAAATTATTTATTTTTTAAATGAGAGATTTTAATATGGTAATTACTTATATTTATATATATTTATCCGAACCAACTTTTCAAATGTTATTGTTCTTAAAAACAAGTTTCAGGATATTTAATATGACGAATCTTTTACCAATGTCGCATTAGATAGATTTCCAATATAATTCAGTGATAATATTTATTTCTTAGTTATAAATCTTTTCGACTTCATTGAAACGCAAAAAATATTAGTAAATTCATATTGTTTGATGTTTTCTAAATCAATTAAAGAAAAGGGATTAAATTCCGATCATTTTTTTAGAAGTTATAAACAAATGAAAAAGCGTTGGATAAAATTTATCTGTTTAGGGTATTATGTAACTTTTTGATTCTTAGCGTTCTAGGATTAAGATGTTGTTAATTTTATTTTCAGATGCTCTATAACTAATAAAACAATCGGGGTACATTGGGTAAGTATATTACACAAAAGTATCAATATTTCTAATAATTAAGTATAATATTTAAGATTTTCTTTTATTATATTATACTACACACACACACACACACACACACACGCACGCACGCACGCACGCACGCACGCACGCACGCAAACACACACACACACACACACACACACAGGGTGGACCAAATGTATGGATACAGCCGAATAAATCTTCAAGACAGGATTTTCGGAAAAAGTAATCTCAACAAAAGTTGCTTGGGCTTAAAAGAACTATCTGCTAGTGACCCTGGATTTAACCTTGGCCTTAACTTTCAAGGTTATTCGGAGGTGAACTTCGCTTTTTAAATAGAAATCTATTTTTTATTACGGAATTTTATTCTACGTAAAGAAACAAACAACGTTTATTTGAAAAAATTTTTTATATGACCTCTATTTTCTAAGATATTTATGGAAATATCTACAAAATTATTAGTTTCAATAATTTCTTACTCAAATTCTATCAACTTTACCGAAAAATGGCAGGAGACCATAATTTTTTTTCTCATAGAGCTCTGAGATTTTTTTTCAGAATTTTTTAAAAACTTTTTAATACTTCAAGAAAATACAAGAAAATGCAGTACTAAAAAGTTAACTAAAAAATTCTGAAAAAATTCTCAGAGATCTATGAGAAGAAAATAAATAATTTTTACCTCATGCTTTTTCGGTAAATTTGATAGAATTCGAGTAAGAAATTATTGAAACCAATAATTTTGTAGATATTTCCGTAAATATCTTAGAAAATAGCAGTCGTATAAAAAATTTTTTCAAACAAAAGTTGTCAGTTCCTCTACGTAGAATAAAACTGCGTAAAAAAAATAGATGTTTCTATTTACAAAGCAAAGTTGACTTCCAAATAACCTCGAAGATTGGGGCCAAAGTTAAATCCAAAGCAATCAGCAGATAGTTCTTTTAGGCTCAAGCAACTTTTGTTCAGCTCACTTTTTCTGAAAATCCTGTCCTGAAGATGTATTCGGGTGTATCCATACATTTGGCCCACCCTGTATATATATATATATAATATAATTTTAAAAAACTTAAGTATTATGATTGATTATTAAAAATATTAGTATTTTCGTAATCAACTTATTTGTACGATTGTCTTTAATATCGTATATCTGTCTATACATCTGTTATGACAATATGGGTACAGTCGGTACTATCGACTTAAGAAAATAATAACCAACATAAAAAATAATTAAGGCTATTAAATCAAGCAACATAAAAAAACGTAAAAAAAGTAATCGAAACTATCATATTTATGTATTGGATATCGTCAAATGTTTGTTAATAGACAATTTGCGTTTTAGTTGGTTTACATAAGCAGAAAAATTTATAAAAGAATACGCTTTTAAAGATTATTCATCAGAACATAACATAAATCGATATTATATTTTAATCGTAACAAGACAAATACATTAATATATATTAGCAATCAAAAAGCTACCTTCTAATGTATATTTTATATATAATATTCTCCAAATTAAATATAAGATTGTTGTATTAAGAAAAAAATATTTATGTACAGCATCGGCGTCAATATCAGAAATAATCACATGCATGTAATATCAAGAAGAAGATATCGAATCTCAACATTAACTTCAAAATTATATATACCACAATGTCAACAGACAGTTTCTAAAACATCTTATCCAATACAAAATTTCATTCATTTTACAAATAGCTATTATATAGAAATGAAGGCTAATTTTTTTAGCATAATAGAATACTAAATAATAATTAGAAATAATTATTCAGACAGTATTAAGAGATATACATATATCGAAGAAGAGAAGGTGGTATTCTTATACAACATACGGGGCGGCTCCGGCTCTGTACGGTACGGCGCAGTGCACCGCGGAAAATCTCGCGGCGAATTTAGTGTAGCCGGGAAGCGTGAGGTGGTTGCGGAGCACACGGAGCACGGCTGACTCCAATCAATACGCCCGTCCGCGCGAACGCGAACGACGGAAGCGAGAGCGCCGGTGGAGGCTCGCGCGCGCTCCCGTCCGAACGGCCGAGCTTTCAGTCGAACGCACGCTCGCGTTGGAAGCTCGCGTCGGTCCCGCTGTTATGAAGCTCATGTTCCATACGTACGCGTGCACCCTGGCCTGACGACCCGGCGCGGCGCGGTGTGACGCGGCGTAGCACGACGCGGCACGGGGATCGCCTGAAAGGTGGAGTAGCGTCTAGGACAGCAAAATGGCGGTCGTGATAAGAAACAAATGATAAGGGTGGCGAACGGCGATCTCGAGAGAACCGCGGCTCAGTGCTCATTGATGATAGTGCGCGACTCTATTCCTATCACGACGAGGACGTGATATCTGGCGTCATCACCACGAACATCGAGGGAGGAGAAACCGCGCAACGGGGAGGCGACGTGCTTTTCACCCTTGTAAGGCGCCTCGAGGGAGGATCGCCTCAATTTCATGAGGATCATGTCACGGGACACTGATCGTGTGCGTTCGCGCTAACGTGTGAGCGATTCGATTATCGATTACGGATCCACCGGCAAAACGGACTGCGCACGACACGAGAATGCTCGTGAGAAAAGTGACGTGGAGTCCAATTACGAACGGAGTCGGGGTTGCAAAAAACAATGCTAATTTGACGGATTGATGGGCTTGCCAACGGGAATCTAATTGCGTCGCAAATATGCATTTACATTTCGAGAAGAACAACAACGCCAAATGCGACTGCAACATTTTGTCGCTCAGCTGGATGGGCAAAGTGCCGGACGAGTCACCAGAGGTAAGTTGTTTGCAACATAGAAAAAAATGCAGATTAGAAAATTCCACTCAGAGAATATTTTAATAAAAACAATGAGGAGAAGCGTAACAAATTAAATATAATGAGATGTAAATTATTATAAAATATTTTTTTTTCGAGTTTTCTTACGCTGGAAACTCTGGGAACAAGTGACAAAAAGCATAACTCTTGAAAGCCACAAATTCACTATTTTAAAATTTAATATAAAATTTATGTATCATTCTCTTTTTGTTTTCATACTTGATAGTTGAGAGCATTATATGCTCTCGATACCGTTATTTCTCTCTTCATTTTTGCTTTAATTTACTGATTAATGTACTGTTTAATGTATATAGAGTGTATTTTAGTTCTCTTTAATTTATATTGATGTTCTTTGAGCAATTTAGAGTTAATTTTTCTTCAGCAGAAACGCTGAAGTACCAATAGTTTTTGAAATCGAAAGAACGATCGAAATGGAACTTTTCACAAACTAAACTTCAAACAATTAAATAAATAATTAAATTTTTTTCCTCTATAAATTTCAAGTAGACTTTAATAGAATTTTATTTTGAGCCTTTGTTAGAGAGAAAAATATGTTGAACATTGAAAAATCACCATAAATAGTGATCTTCCTCGATATTTTTGATTAATTAATTTTAAATTGCTTAAAGAATATAAATATGTTGATATAAATTAAAATTAGCAGATCTAGGACACCTTATATATGAAATATTAAAATTAATCCTTATACACACACACACGTGAATAGCGATTAGATAGTGTTGTAAAGATTCTTTTATTTCGGCGTCTTCTAGGCGTGACAGAGAGATTTCGTTCAAAATAGATTTGTCGTTCCACTTTCGATCGAGCGCATGCAAGAAGTTAAAAATATGTCTTATCAAGTAATTTTGTGTTCCACAAATCACGGAGTAAAACGAGTTATTACAAATTTGTTAATAATGTTGAATATAAGTGATAAAAGATATCGACGACGGTATTCGCTAATGCACATTGTAAATAATAATTTTTTCAATCGTCATTCAATAAGTTTACTCTCAGTCCTTGATATTTAAGCATTAATATTGATGGATTCTTCATCCAAAAGCGAGCAATTAATTCATATGTGAACTGACTGATTTAATAATCGTGAATTTTCGCCTCAAAGTTTTAGTGTTTGAACAAATAAAACATAAACTTATAATATTCTATTAAACAAAAAATTATTGATAGAACGTTATTGTAATGATATTTAGTAACATGTAACGTTTTCTAATATATAGTTTTTATAATGTTGTATCAATAATAGTTATGAATAACTTCGATATATTTGAATATTTCTAAAAGATTTTTGCAATATTTAAAGGAATCGTATTACCCGGTGATATCTTTGAAATCAGGTCCAACTTCTTTTTCGCTTCCTAAATTTTTAGACTATTGATATTGTTCACGATTATTTTGATATAATACTAACTGATGCTGATAGTATTAATTTGAGAAAGGAAAACTACGCTTGTCCAAATAGAAAGAAAAACTCTTTCCACAATCCAAGAAAAATAATCGTTTTGGGTTTTATTGCGTATTTAGACCTAATTGAAAGATGAATGAACAAATAGAATGTTAAAAAGCACATTATAAATGTTAATAAGAATAGGTAGGAGTAGTAAAATGTATATAAACATGAATAAAAAGATAGCCGCTGCACTTTGACACATATACATAGCTACTGTCGCCTCGCGCGGCACGGACGGTGGTAGATAAAACTTTCGCTCAGACAAAAGTAAACGAGCTCGCGCGAGCCAGTAACGATTGCAAAATCAATTTGCCCCATTTCAGATAAAATAGCTAAACAGTCTGGTTGGTTCGGTTAGTTAGTTAGTTAGTATCAATTGTAGAAAACAACGATGAAACATATTCGGAGACCATGCAGCCGATAATTATACAATGACAACCATTGGACTGAACTGACGTATTACAAATTTCTCCGGTTATCTCCTCAATGGAACTAATATGATTTAACGATCGTGAATTTTAGCCTCAAAGTTCTAGTGTTTGAACAAACACAACATAGTGTTTGAACAAATAAAACATAAACTTATAATATTCCATTAAGCAAAGTCATAGGACGTTATTGTAATGATGTTTAGTAATATGTAACATTTTCTAATATGTAGTTTTTAATGTTGTATCATTATGAGTAACTTCGATATTTGAATATTTCTAAAACATTTTTGCAATATTCAAAGGGATCATATCACGATATTCTTGAAATATTTTCAAAATATCAAACGAAAATATTCCAGAGATATGCGTAAAATTAATATTTCAAAACGTTGATTTAATGTTCTTTGTTTATTGGAATGTACACACCAGTGTACATTCCAACCATTCCAGCGAAAACCATTTCGAAACGGTTTGAATATTTTTTTCATGCAATTTGAAATGTAGCCAACTGTCCAGTGAAAGAATATAACTTCTGAGAATTAATAAAAAAACACATTCCCTTATTGGACTATCGGCTACGTTTTAAAACGCATTGGAAAAAAACTTAAAAAAACTTAAAATCGTTTGAAAATAAATGTAAAAGTTCATCCAACTAATAATGCATTACAGAAATTTCAATAATCTTTGCTGTATCGTTTCCGAGATGTTTAATCATAAATCTATATTGTGCAATATAAGATTTCTACAATAAAACAAATTTTTTTTTATTTAAAAAACTTAAAAAAACTTAAAATCGTTTGAAAATAAATGTAAAAGTTCATCCAACATAATGCATTACAGAAATTTCAATAATCTTTGCTGTATCGTTTCCGAGATGTTTAATCATAGATCTATATTGTGCAATATAAGATTTCTACAATAAAACAAATTTTTTTCTAATTTAAGATAAAATTAAAGATATTTAAGATAAAATTTAAGATATTTATATATAAGACAAATTTTAAAAAACTGTCGTAAAATGAACATTTAAATATATTTTAACAAAGTACCGCAAAAATTTATCGTTAAGTTGAAGAAAAATTGAAATATTTCGATGCGAAAATTTCTCATGAAATCAACAAAATATGAATAATGGCAACATCACATACATGATAAATTTGCGTCAGATCCGAGATAACCTCATAATGTCACTTTTATATTTATTTCTCTATTTATTATTTACCTCAATATATAACATTTTTGCATTTCCAATTTTAAATTAAATGAAACTAATCTTTTATAAAATATAGTAACGAGTACATTTTATGTTCATATTTATTTTTACATATCGGCATTAAATAAATTTTCTACAACTGTTATTTTATCACTTTTCAAAATTTGATAACTTTTAAAACAGAAAACATACCCAGCAAATACAGAATATAACTAATATATAACATAGAAGTAATATAACTGCAGTTATACGTTACTAAAATTACTTAGGCCGGTATTCATAGTCGAATCTTATTTCAAGACCGTCTTAAGTAATGTCTTAAGATACGAATATGGTTCTGTGATTGGTTCATGATATCTTAAGATAGTACTTAAGATGATCTTAAATATAAGATCGGATTATGAATACCGGCCTTAATTTCCTTTTATAACAGCAATTATATTTTATAACTTATTTTAAAATTATATTATATTATATTATATTATTTTGTTATGTACTGGTTGTAACAATATAATAGCAACACAACTTAACATATTATATAACAAGTGTAGTGTTCACGTTATATTTATGTTATAGCATTTTTATATATAGGATATCAGATTGCATCCTTTATATAGTATTTATTTCTTATACGTAAAATATGCGTTAACGCATATAAGAACGGTAATCACAATACGGCAAAACTTATTATTATTATAGTGCTTGTTCTTATAATGAAGTAGCATATATTTTGATTAATGATTATTACTAGTAACAATCGCTAGTAACAATTGCTCCCATCGAAATATTATGTATAGTCATAGGAATAAATAAATATTAATAATTAATCAAGAATAGCAAAATACTTTTATATCATTATACCTACTAGAAATAACTAGTAACCCTTCTGCATACAATTACTATACAACAATTTTCAAGGAACCATATATATTTATGGTTCATCGAAAATGGATAAGTTATATTTCAATTTTATATAGTATTTCAACTATTAATATATATAACTGCTATATAATCTTCTAGCAACATGTTACTTACACATTACATAATTTATATGAGTAGAAAATCACTACTAACGTAATATATTCGTGTTATATTGTATATTATATTTTGTTATATTATGACAATATAACAGTTTTTGCTAGGTTATGAAATGTACGAATTTCGTACATATTTTGTTATTGCAAAATTATTTTTGTTACTTTTAATAATTTTATTAATAAAATACTAATTAACTGAAGAGTATTTAGACAACTAAAATTTTCTTAAAGGCAACACGCTCATTTTATGTGTTGGACATATATTGTCAAAAATTGATTCAAAAGAACCTTGCCTATTTTCATAGAGGTTTCCGGTCATCCGCGTCCAGTCATCAATCATATATATTATTGTAGATAATAATGGTAGTATTTAAGAAAAAATAGTTTTAGATCATCAAACCCCCGTCGAAAGTAGTTCTGACCTCTTAATGATATCATTTTATTTGTTCGATAGTTCATCATCAAAGTTGCCCAACATATTTATTATTTATCTTTACACGATATTTTTGCGCTTTCAATTAACTAATAATTTTTCCTAAAGATTTCTTTTTGCACCCAAAACACCTCCTCGTGGTGACGGCGGTAACAAACAAATGTTGAAGGGAAAGATTCTATTAAAGAATATTATTGCACATATATTGGGAGTAATTGCATTAATTTTAAGGGATTTTTTGGTAAAAATACGGCTTTATTGTGAAAAAATGGTTACAAATTGATCATTCAAAATATTGTCGCTAGCCACTACTTTTTCCCATCTTTCTGGTAATAGGTGGATTCCACGTCGAAAAAACGACACATCTTTTGAGGCTATC